GCGAGCCTGCGTGAGGCGCGCGCCTCTCCCTGTCACGCCGCACCTCCCTCCCTGTCACGCCGCACCTCCCTCCCTGTCACGCCGCACCTCCCTCCCTGTCACGCCGCACCTCCCTCCCTGTCACGCCGCACCTCCCTCCATGCGTCAGTCTTGCGTGCTCGGTCCTGCTTCCTCTTCCCTCTGGTATCCCGGAGAGCTTCTCTTGTGTCATGGAGAGGAGGCTTCGGCCCTATCGGACCGGATTTTGGAATCGGGGAAGCGGAAGGCGCCTCCTTTCGACTCCTCTGGAATTGCATTTCTTCACGTGGAGAGAGGCCAGACCCATTGTCATCCCTTTTTTATTTTTGCTGCGAGGTCAACATTAATTTGTCCATTTTGTGGCCACAAAAACAAAGGAGGTTTATTCACGATGAAATTTTTTTCTCGCTCGATCGAATGAATCTCTTCCCGAAAACAATCCAAAAAAAAGCCTCGAGAAGCATTTTTCTTCGAGAACTCCTTAATGAATCGACTTAATGTGAAATCCCTGGAGCTTAGCAGAGTAATACCAAGTTTTTATCCTCAGCCTGGCCACTGATAATTACATGATCACGAAATAATCTGAATTTGTTCATACTTTTCTCTATATTAATTTATTAGAATTATATAGTGTTCTAGTCGACCCGCTCCGCCCACACCTTGTGCCACTCTCCGCCCACACCTTGTGCCACTCTCCGCCCACACCTTGTGCCACTCTCCGCCCACACTTTGTGCCACTCTCCGTGCCGTTACGGATACGCAGCGATTGCTAATATAGGTTTTCGCAATACGATGACTGCCAAATGCATAGCCGGTGATATATTTTGCATGTTAAAAATTCAGCTTGGCTGCCAACGTGATGATTGGCTCGCCTAAAAATTGGCTCTCTCTCACGTAAATATGCGTTCAAAACCTCCAAATTTCGTAATGCCAACTGCGAAAAGTTCACTGCGTGCAAACCTCTAAACAGACGTACGGTCCAAAAGTTTCTGCCTTGAGATTCAAGGGAACGTGATCGATTGTTTAAGCCACTTTTACATTATACATATAATTTTACTTTATATATAGCATTACCCCCCCCCCCAGATATTAATGCGTATTGTTTTGGAACAATGCTTCAATTTAATTGGGGAAAATTCGTTTTCCACGATCAACTAAAAATGGTGGAACGGCTTTAATGAATGGACATCATTTTCAGTTTCACAGGCGGTTTTGCTTGAAATTTATATTATTGAATGAGTATTTATTGCAATTGATGCATTTATATCATGCGAATAGTTTTGAAAAATAAAAACACAAAAATATTTAAAAGTTGCTCCGTATTCAAAATGTTCCATTTTGAAAGATATATTTTTAATTGCTGGAATCTGTATTATACGCAAATTATTATAATAAATATGATTGCATCTAAAACCAATTACTGTCCCTTTAAATTACAGGAGATGATGAAGGAATATGGGAACTAGTTTCAGCTTTCTCCGATCGTTTCTCCTTCCTCAGGGAAGAAGTTTTTTGCATAACCTTGTATATATTGACATATCTTAAGCTGTGCATATCCTACCCGTAAGGGCAACGGAAGTACCGATCCTTACAATCAACCGGGCCCGGAGTCGGCCGACAGGACCAGCCAACACCTCATCGCACCCCAAGACGCACCCGACGGAAGCGCCAAAAAATTCGCGAAACTTCTAAGAGAGGAAATATGCGCCAGAATGAAAGAACGCATTTGTGTGGAATGCAGATTTGATGCACATCTCCAGGTGAATCAAAATGATTCATCTCGTTCAAAGTCCGTGTGGCGCTCAGCGATCCTTGACTAATGGTGGCTTTAGTATAATTTATATGCCGGTATTTAAAATTCGAAGGCATGTCTTATCTCCATTTTCAGAAAATATAATTTAAAAATACAAAGGGCGTGTCTGTTTTCCTTGGGAAGGAGGAGGAATAACTTCCCCAGGCGCGCCTGCGCCTGGAATCGGATTCAGGATTCCGCCCTCCATTCCGCCCTCCATTCCGCTCTCCATTGCCCTCACACCCTGGACTCACATTCGGTGATTAAGTTGCTCGCTTCGGTGGGTCGCCTACGTCGCATAGTCGCATCGTCGCATCGTCGCATCGTCGCATCGTCGCATCGTCGCATCGTCGCATCGTCGCATCGTCGCATCGAACGAAGTACGTTTCTGAGGATTCATCCAGTTGATGGGAGGGGGATTAGGGGTCCTTCAGTGCTCTTCAAGGTCCTTCGAGTTTTAATATTTTCGGGGAGCGATGAGCGACGTAATCCTGCACTTCGGACGCAACTCAGAAATTTCGAGCTTGATTTTTTGAGACGGCTTTTCAGCACGTTCACGCTGTTGAACTGATTTGCGAATCTTCCTTGCCTTTTCTGTCCCATCAATGTCAATTATTCATTCAATTATTCAATGTCAATTATTATTGTTTCACAACGAATTTTTTCCCGAAGTTCTCCTTGGTGCGAATTCCATCCGGAAACAGTGAAAGAGGCACACAATGTTGCCCTGTGATATTGCTCTTGAAATTCACTCGACTATCCATCTGGCTTGAGATGACTTGAAATTTCGAAATTCAAATTTTCTTGAAATTCTGTCTTGACCTGAAATTCCCCTGAATACAATAATAACACTCAGACGAGCTGCAGAGGCTGAATAATTTTTTTCCTTTACAGCTACGTGTGAAAAAGACAAAGACCAAGAGGATGCAATGCTATTTTTTTAATGGTGAAATCATAGAATACTTTTCGGATTTCACTTCCGACCTAAGCAATATCAAATTTAAACAAAATTGACTCATTTTGTGTACTCCTCTAATGCAATTTCATTGCTTCTCTACTTAGCAAAAAAATCGATTCCAATAGCGTTCCTACAAATCAGATCCAAAAGTGCTTTTGCAATTACAAGCGAAAGTATATTTGCCTTCTCTTATTAATGTCTTGAAAAGCATATGCTCGGATTTCGTATTGGCATCTGAGATGAACCCGTGCGAGGCACTTGAACTGACTTCTGTGAAACTATCGGGAGGCATACAGGAGGGTATCACACTGAAACGAAATAAACGAAGAAAATTGGAGGAATCTCCCTGAAATAGTTTTTGTTTCAGATGACTCAAAAAATCTTGATGATGAATCCAGATGAATCCAGAGGTCTTTCTTTTTAATATTATTAATATTATTAATTAATATTATTGCATCCGCTTCGCTGTTTCTGATATTTCGCTGATCGCGTTGGAAATGTCGAGAGCCGGTGACCCATTTCCAGGCGATCTACGTGAGGATGACAGCTTCCCTTTCAAATGGTGATGGCGGAAGTTTCCCTTCAATCTCGACCTTTTCCCCCTTTCCCCCATGTCGTCTCCAGCCCCAAACTTCTCTCTCAGCTAAATAAGAGGTGGTCTTCCTACTCCTTCGCATGCTCCGAAACATTGAGGAATGGATGAAAAAAAACCTTAGCGTCAACTGAGAGGCTGATTCAGAAACTGAAAGAAGCGGGTCCACCTGAGAGGAAGAGAGAGAGGTTGAAATTAGCTGAAACTGAAGGAAATTCCTTAAAATAATGTGGAAGAAGTCACGCGTTTCAAGATTAAATTTCAAGTATTAATCTAGATCCCATGTTCAAATTGGCTGTCGTAAGGATGAGTCAGAGATCCGTTAACCCTTTCCAGCCCAAATTAAATACTAATCTACAAGTAAATTTTCCCCCTGAAATATGAGAAGCAATTAATATAACAATAATAAACTCCAAAAGTTACTGGTATGACTATCTACAACGCCAATTGGAGTCAAAAGCTCAAAGAAGTGCCTTAATTGTTAACCCTGAAAATTTTCCATAAGGCCATATGGTATCATTGGTCTGGAAAGAGTTAAGGGGATTCCGAAGTGTAGAGGAAGACGTTTCGCGAAGAATCGCCATCCTGAGTGAGTTTGGCCGGTCCTCGCGTCTCCGTCCAGGTGCGGACGCAACGGCGAAAGTCTATATGCTTATAAAAATTATCTTGGGTTGCAAAACGAATGGCGGTGCACGGGCAAACATTTATGAGTACTTGAAAGATGACTTGCGCAAAGAAGAAACGTGCTACAGGAGGGTCGTCGCTGAAAAGACTCATCAGTCCTCATGTTCTCCCCAGAGAACTTTAAAAAATCCTTATTTTCAGATGGAGGTAAATACTACTCGCAATCCAGAATCTCGGCTTTTGTTCACGAGGGAAGAACTTCTCTACTCTGCAATCTATCTCACTGTCGTGGGTGAGTCCCTTTTTTTTAAGCCATGAGTTTCGAAATCATGACGTATTACGTATATTCGTTTTGTTAATATTTCATTGACATTTATGAAGGATGTTTCCGTTCACCATTGAATCAATTGCAAGATGCATTTGTACCTGTTTCAAGCAGGGACGTTTTGGAAGATATATTATCCTAGAACCTGAGCTAAAATTGCACTTTAAATTTGATATTGTTTGCTCACGACTTTAACAGTGGAGTTAGCTTCTTTTTCAAGATTGGACAGTCACCAGAATACATATACGTTTGAATAGCGTAAATTGAGTGCAAAATAAACAGTTATATATACATAGAATTTTACTGGCGGGTTTGTTTACCATGGAAAATATTCTCTATACATTCGCGTTTTCAGTGCTCTCTGGTTACAGTAAATTTAATGGGAATATTGCACTTGCACATCCGGTGCCGTTCGAAATCTCAAGTGTTCAAAATGATGAGTACAAGGAAATTATTTGTCCTCTGAAAGACATTGCGTTTTTGTGAGCCTCACTAGTTTGTCTTCAACAACAGGGATATTGGCGACAGTGGGAAACGGATTGTTCCTGGCGACGATCCTCCACAGGAAAAGATTTCGCCGGGATCCTCACATGCAGCTGCTGATGAACCTGGCGGCGTCCGACCTCCTCGTCTCCTTCCTCGGCTATCCCTTCGCCACCATTTCGAGCTACTATGGATACTGGGCGTTCTCAGACACTCTCTGCCAGGTCTACGCCTTCGTCTCCTTCGCGACTTCCTTGGTATATTTCCAACGCTACTACGTGACTTATGTGACTTTCCTCGGTATCTTCAGTTTTAGCTCAAGTTGTTAGACTGTTGTGACTGAAATGAAGTCTGGAGAATCTGAGTAAAGTTCAGTAATAATAACGTACGTCATATTGCATGTGCGCGAACACTTTAGCTGAACTTCACGCCAGACGAGGAATGCAATAACTTTTCAATAATCTTTCACAAAAGATTATGCATTTTGAACAAATAATGTTATACCCATTATGTTCGCAACTACTTCATTCGCGGTGCGAAGTTCCCCTGAATGCAATGGGCGTAATAGCTACATTTCAGGTATTCTGCAAAATGGGCAACGGAGACTGCTGAGATTTTTAGGAATTGGATTTTGAAATGGCAAAAGTGAAAGAACGTGAAGCAGTACGAGTTTAAAACGTTGCGATCCAAGTTGAGGATGAAGCAGGAGGTTAAACTGAAACAAGTAAAGGCGTTAAATTTATTAAACTGATGATTCAGAGATTCACTTTTAAGGAAAAATATTGGCGAAGGATTACACGGATGGAATGATAGTATGTTTTGGAAACGAAGCACGTCAGCGAGCGCCTGAACCGCTACCCTCCATTTACCTTCATTTTAATTGCCTTGTAAGATTTCATGAAGTATCAATACTTCTAGAGGTTCAACTGGAACAGGAGTCAGATGGAACTGAGGTCTCTTTCCTTATCTCTTCAGAGCAGTCTGGCGACTCAAGTAGCCATCTGTATATCCCGGTACCTGCTCGTCTTCAAGCCCACCTTCAGTAAGCTTCAGCGCTTTTTCTTATATATTCCACAGTTAATGTTAATCATGTTCAGTCGATATGCCCATGTTCTCTTCGTCATTCCTCAGGCATGACAAAAACCGGCTGCAATAACTTTATTTTATTCGGATTACTGACAGAGGATGTTTTCTTTTTGACGCTTTGACAATATATATATATTTTTTAATTTAACAAATGACTTTCGAGATGCCTTTTTGGTAAATTTTGTATTTCCCGTTTTCTGCTGGGCGAGATTCGATTCGTGCAAAGGGCGGATTCTTCCTTGATTAGCAAGACAGCAAAACAAGGCTAGCATGCTCCTTAAGCAAAGGATGCTGGCATTGTTTTCCTCAAAGAAGTCATTTGTCTCCAAGAAAAACTCCCAATCCAATGAAAAAAGGAATTCGTCCCAGTTTCTAAAACCTGTGTTCCTTCCTTCATGCTTCACTTCATATTAGATAAATGAGTTCGAAAAAGGAGATGCTTTCCCAGCCCTTCTGAAAAAAAAAATTTTTTTTCTGAAATCCAGGAGAAGAGGACTATCCACGGCAACTTTTCTTTGACGAACATTCGAGATTAACATTTAGGTCCCTAATTATATCTACCCTGACTGAAACGTTCGGCTTCTGTGGCAAAGCCTGTCAGAGACTTCCTTCTCTGTAGGGAAAGGCTCATCGATCGAGATCATCGATGGTGTCAAGTTCCCACGTCGATTATATTACTCTGCCCACTCTAACCCTTTCTCTCATCCCGCATCTGTCTAGTTCTCTGAAATTCCCCCCACAGTTGCAGATGGAGAGACTGCTCAGATATCTCGAGAATACGGAACATGATGTGAAAGTCAATACAGTAATTATTCTAAAGCCGACAGTTTATGTATAACTGCATCTTCGTTGATAGAACGAAGGCATCAGCATCCACTTTACGCCTACTTACTCACGGTCCGAGTATTCGGCAAGTAGCGAGAAAGACGAGGCTAAGGGGGTGGGAGACTCTGCTGCTCCGTAGGTCAGACGGTCTTTGGTCTCGGGATCTGGACGAACGACAGTGCCTTTCCCAGTTTCCACCGCTCAGGTTTTTGGGGACAGTGGAAAAATATTATTGAGTATCTGGTTCCCTCTTCCCATGGGGATCACATTTATGTTTGCTAGTTTTCCTTTCAAATTCTCATATGCATTTTTTTCCCCATCGTGCAGAGAAGAGGTTATCTGGGAAGTTGGTGTGGGGGTTCATCGTGTTTGTATGGGTCTTCAGCGTGATTTGGCCCCTCCCTCCGCTCCTGGGGCTCTGGTCCCGATTCGTCCAGGGGCCGTTCTCCATCTCCTGCTCCATCGATTGGCACGATACCAGTTTCTCTGCCATCATCTACATCGTCGGTAAGGATGCTTCCAATTTAAACTCCTCGCCCTCATGAAAATACCGCACCCACTCAACACTTTTTGATGCAACAGAGTTGATTTGGTTAGGTGCTGGAATCCCACCTTGTTGGAAACCCACATGTTGGCTTACCCCATATTGAAATAGTCATGTTAGATTGATTGCTAAGAAAAAGTAATGAAGTATCATCTCCACTTCAGATGAACTACAGAAACTCAAAATTCCCATAAAAACTCCAGGTGTGGTGACTTCTACGATTTTAGAATCGTATTAACGTAGCAAATACATACAATGCAGTAAAAAATAAATAATGGAAAAAGCGATGTTCTCCAATTCTCTTCACTTTCAGGAGCATTTTTCGCGTAGATTTTTAAAAGGGGGACAATTGAGTCATCCATGCTTATTATCTCTGAGGGACAATCTGGCAAGACATTCACATCGTTTTATGCCAATAATTTTTATGGAATCAAATGGGCATAGAATGAAATAATGCCCTAGTTGAACGTTTTGATCTATCAGGGAAATGAAACATCTCCCTCATGATCGAGAAAGAGAAACGATCCAAATCCTGATGCAACAGTGCACGCAAGCTCCTGCCGATGTGTTTGTCCGTCACTTCAGACGAATATCGTATTTCGACTCAAATTCGCACCAATGGATGAAGGTGGAACTGAGAAAAGGGATGAAAGAAGTTCAAGTTGCTCATCCTAAAAAAAAAGAAGTCACGTTGTCACGTCAAAGTGATATAATACATAAGGTTTCAAAAAATCAAGCTTCATGACAAAAGTTGAACAATCTTTTCATCCCTGTAATTGCTCCTCCCTCAACAAGGAACTTTGTGTTTCTGAAGTTATTAATTAATTTTCCAAGTTCTGTAAAGTACACTTTCTCAAGCCTCCTTCTCGATACCTCCTTCTCCTTGTAATTTTCATTATCTCTTATGTCGATGTAGCTTAGTAGTTTGCTTATAAGCTTCTTAGTTGAAAGTAAATCCAGACATTGCACCAATATATGCACAAAAGGAATAGAGAAACGAAGGACTCAAAATAAAATAAAAACAAAAAATTCATTTCATCCGCGATAATATCCTCAAAATACATTTAAGTCATTTTTTGCGTTAATACAGCCACCACCATCTTCTGCTACCTGTTCTCCATCGTGCTCGTGGCCACCCTGTACACGATCGTGTTGCGCCACGTGATGCGATACCACCCGACCGTCATCCACTCGGGCGGGGTGCCCGTCAGGTCCTCCATCTGCTGCGGCAACTGCCTCGGCCTCAAGCCCATGGAACTCCATCTCCTCAAGGTGAAGTCTGTCACAAAATGACAAGTTCCCTTCCTTTTTTCTACCCTTCGTTGGCGAAGGGTAGAAAAAAACTCTGACAGCTTCGAGAGCTGTCAGACGATGGCGTGCAAAATAATCCTATGCGTTGCGGATCCCTCGCTCTCTTTGGAGAATATCACTCCGGGGAATCCTCTCATTCAATTTGCCGAATTTCGCTTTCCAGCAGCGGCACTGGGATTTTCGAATTTCACCTTAGGATTCACCGGGATTTTCTTTCAGGTTTTTCACTGGGACGTGAAAATTACGAATCACGGATTTTGAGAAAAGTCTTCCGAAAGGAACATTTTGATGGAAGTTTGGGTCTTGTCCTTCAGCAGAATTTTTTATTATTCTATTTTGCTCATCCGCTGGATCCGTACATCCTCAAAGTCGAAAAAAAAACTTTAAATGGCTGAAAGACTCAACCGAAATCCATGACAGTTGAAACAAAATTCAGTACGAGAAAAAAAACTATTAAAATTTATATATGCGTAAAAGAGGAATTTGGCTTGTGTCTCAAGAGAAAATTGCTATTTAGGAGCATCACCTGAGAAACGAGTCATATTGTTATATTATTCCAACATTTTCTCGAAAAGGCATGAAACATGCTCGATTCACTCGATTAACGACATTTCCGACCCCAGATGAACATCGTGATGGTGTCCGTGCTGCTGTTCGTGTGGACCCCGTACATGCTCGTCTCCATCATGTGCATGCTGTACCACAATATCCCTCGGATCATGCAAGTTCCTCCATCGCACCTCGTTTCATATTTTTTTAAATAATTTTTTTTTCTGCCCAAGGATTTGATTCATCCATCTGATGTGGGAGAGAAAAGTTTGTAAAAATTCGTTCCGAAATTTCGTCAACGCTTGAGTGCATATTTTTAGAACTGGAGCAGATCATCAAGAATAATTTTTCGCCTGTTTCAGAAAGATAGTCGAAATCGTATCGAAAACAATTGTATCGTTTTTTAAATACTATTTTCACGGCACACACGAGTGTCTAACGCGAAAGTGGGGCGAATTGGATTTTCAAACTGTCAATTTATCATTTTGTCCTTCGTGAGGCGTTCATGGGCAGACGCGCGAACGCACAACGTTGAACCGCCTTTGATTTTCCGATCCCATTCCAAAAAAAAACATTCGATTTTTTTATATTCACCGGGATCAGGCATCTTCCAGCTTTAAGGTTTTTTTTTCGATCCAATAAACAAATTTTCAGGACAATCTCCGTCATATTGACTCACCGATGAGGAAACGCGATTGAGTACTTCAGGTAATGCCAAACGACATTTTACGCCGCCTATGTGCATTGTTTTTTATCATCATGCGATGAGGATAATTATCTTGTATCTTGATGAGGATAATTATCTTGTATTATCATCTTGCATTGTATCCAAAACCGCTTCATTTCTGGAAGAGCATTACTAAATGAACATAATACGTAGAAAAACACCTTGACTCTCATATGAAGTGCGCGATGAAACTGAGACCGATTAAGGCGATTGTTTGATTTTTCTCTCTGGAAACTAAATAAACATATCAGTAGCCCGTGCACGGAAGAATTTAAAGGCAACAATTCGTACGTTACCTTAAATCGTCTCTTTAAAGGGACAATGTGGCATGCGGGCTTTTCCTTCATCAGCGTCACGCTGTTCTGCGGACATCGCAACCCGCCGTGCAGGTTAGCCTTCGTCCACCCTGCGTCAAGCAATTGCTAAGGCTGTAGAGGCCCGCGTGCGCGCACGCTATCGCGCTCTGTGCCCGCGTGTCATGTGTGCGCCTGTCACCGACCACCACCACGGACCACAGTAGGTTTTATTATATGGATGCATATATACAATTCGGATGAGTCCGTGAAATAGCCCGTATTTTATTGTTCGTGGTCTTCTCCATGGTCACCCGCGGGAACGAACCAGTGTCTTTTTTACCCTCGCATTAACGAGAAGAGCTCTTTGGGAAATCCTCTCACCAAAGAATAGGGTGTATCCCAATTAACTGCCATGGGATGATCCTCACCTGTGTAAACACACAGCCAATGAGATCGCTCGCCCTAGAGAAAGTATTTCCATATCGTAATTCCTCAATGAGTCTGCCTTCGAAGCCTCGAGTAAAAAAAAAATGAAACAAGTAGGATTCCAATAGGATGAAACCAATGGGAAGCTGTTTGGACGCCAAAAAGGACTCAAACAATTTCCGAACGGAGAGAGATCGATATAATCCGATTTTGAAGTTCCAGAATCCTCGATGTCACCGAGGATCCAAGTCGGGCGGATTTCTCGTGAGAGAAGAAAGAATTCCTCTGGGAAAAAGTTTCGGGCCAATTCCACGAAACTTCAGTTCATGGGGATCGAGTGCCTCCAAGTTCCCTCCACTCTTGAGGCCAAATGCGGCCAGAGTCCACATCGGTGGTTAAGGGTCTTTATTTATTTGCGGCACGCAGAAGGACACTTGAGCTTTCCAACCTAATGGCTACTTACGAGGGGAGGTCAAAAAGTTCTGAGATCAAGGGACTTCCGGTTGCAATGCACCATTCTTGCTTTTATCATGGGAAGACAGATGTCTTTGATGGGGACTGGGAAAATTTCATCTTATTTGTCGATTAAGGACAGCTTTTATGAATTTTTTTCAATAACCCTTCACCAGACCCATTAGTAGCATATTGAAAAAAATTCGTAGAAGCTATCCTTAATCGACAAATAAGATGAAATTTTCCCAGTCCCCATCAAAGTCTTTGATGGGGACTGGCAAAATTTCATCTTATTTGTCGATTAAGGATAGCTTCAATGAATTTTTTTAATGTGCTACTAATGGGTCCGGTGAAGGGGTATTGAAAAAAATGCATAGAAGCTATCCTTAATCGACAAATAAGATGAAATTTTCCCAGTCCCCATCAAAGACATCTGTCTTCCCATGATAAAAGCAAGAATGGTGTATTGCAACCGGAAGTCCCTTAGTCTCATAACTTTTTGACCTCCCCTCGTATTTCCAATGGGAAATTTGTGCTTGCTTCGCCGAACACAGCTGTTTGATACGTGATAGTGTAGCTCTCAGCTCGTTTATCCACTGAGAGATGCCGTTTGCTCCTATTTTTAAGTATTTTTTTTTTGCTTTTCCTTTTCAACTCTCAAATCTCACGGCACACCTAAGCCATCGGCGGCACACCGTTTGGGAAACACTGGTCTACAGCATTCTTCATCAGATCTACATCAGAAGGAAGGGTCTACACATTCTCACCCTTCCCAGGAATTTTTCCGTTCGTTAGAAAATCGTCTGAAATTTCGACTTGGCACATGCTCTCCGGATGGTATCAACCCTTCACTTCATGTTTGGCTCCTAATATACTTTTCCAACCCCACCCCCAAATCCTTAATTTTCCCTTAATTTTCCTTAATTTTTCCTTTATTTTTCCTTAATTTTTCTTCTCTTTCCCTCTCTCCTTTATTCCTTCAGGTACTTCAGTTCTATTTCCTTGAAGGCCTATTAGACCGAGGATCTTGGAATATTTTCCCTCATCGTTTCAATAGACCTTTTTATATAAGCGCTGAATTAAACTTCAAGTTTCACCTGCAGGAAAGGAAGAGGATCCCTTGCAACTACTGAAAAAGATTTTGGAATTCCCTTCGGAACGAGGAAAATACTAGAATCGGAGAAAACTCTGTAATTCCTCGCCCTTCCTCGAAACTGACTCTTACCCTTCCTTTTCCATTTAATTACTTTCAAATCCCTTTCATGCATATGGAAAGCTTTTCCCTCATTCGATTCCTTATGAGGATTCCTGGATGAGGCTCGAGGTTTCTTTTCTTTCTTTTTCTTTTTTCCTCTCTTACATTAAATCTAAATTACTGCATGTCCATGGTTTTGAACGGCAAGAGACAGGGGCATTGAACTGTAGAAAGTCTTACACAACAGTTCATTATGCTAGATGCCATTCTCCCGATCCCAGGATGAAGTCCTTCGTTGGATCTAGGTTTATATCGAATATAATGAATATGGAGCTATGTCGACATTAGTGAACCTATCGGACTCGACTCTCATCACGGGCTCTTGCGTCATTTCGGGAAACTCCTCCAGACCAACAATTTCCTGTAATGACACGCAAGCAGAATCACTTCTGTGCATGAATCGACCTTCCATATGAAAGGCATCGCGTTGATTGAAAAGAAAAAAAAACCGTCCCCTGCCCCTTCCAAGGAAAAAAATGCCACACAGGGAGCGAACACGTTTTCAAACGCATAAGGCATTCCCCCCAGAAGAACAGAGGAGATCTGGGAAGCTGGGGGAGGCTGTCGCTACGAGGAGGGGGGAGAAGGGATGGAGGGTGGGGGATTTAAAAAGGGGATTTAAAAGCGTCGCCGGAAAGTCTGGAGGGTTTCCAATAGGAATCCTGAGACTCTTCATCAATCGAATGTTATTTTGTTTTTATTGTTTTTGTGGTTATTTTCGTTTGTGCCCATAAGGGATTCTATTTGCATGTAATTGTGTCTGCTGTTTTGATTTCGTGGGGATTTTTTGTTTTTCCTGAGAGGTTGTCTTTGGGGGGGGGGGGCATTTCTAGTGAAATTGTTAAGCACGATTCCACTTTCCTGGGAAAATATTTCAAGAGAATTAGTTGCTCAAATCGGCGCAATGCCTCTTCCAGCGAAAAAGCAGGGGAGAATAACAAATTACAGTCGACGTTTGATATAAGAAACTTATTCATATCGCATTTTCTCAGGGGCAAATTTTATTTAGATACCCCGACCATTCGCCAATTAACATGCGTGCCGAAAAGTTTAAATCTGCTGCAGAACGATTTTTTTTTCCGATCCCGAGAAAATGTCATCGCACATCCACATTTGCCATTCATCTCACCCGTGTGGCCGCGGGGGAGCGATTAGGCTTAAGAAGAGGATAAAGACTGACGTCAGCCTCAATCTTCTTGCCATTTCCTTCATGACGAAATTGTTTAGCCTATTCCTTCCAGTGAAATAACTTTCATCAAAATATCCCAAAACCCAA